TGCCCATCAATTCATGTTGGAGACTTCATTGAGATTTTCAATTCATTTTTTTCCTCTACTATGAAGATCTTGTGAGGTTTAACGAGGTATTAATAAATAAAGCTGAGGAATTTGAAGAGGATATGAAGAAGTAAATGAATACAGGGCACGTCTATTTAACACTGTCAAACATAAGGATTATACTCTCCACCCAACAATGATTCACTGAAAAGCATGTGGCCCTCAAATCAGTTCTTGAGTTGGCAAACTGCAAAGAAAAATAGTCAAAATAATTTATGAACAGTGTGCCAAAATCAACTTAAATTGCACAGATTTTTGTTTTTGTAATTGGACTGCAGAAATCACAGTACACCTCATAGAGGAAAAGTCGATTTTTGAGATAGTGGATTTCGAAAACAATTCAGAAGAAAGTGAATTAGATATTACAGTTGATTTAATAAGTATCATACATTTGTTTTTTTTTCGGACATTTGTTAGTGTCGTAGTCCTGTTTCTAGAAATATTATTGCCTTTGTTCAAATACATAACCACATAAACTAAAAAAAGATTAATTGTAAATTGTAATATTTCTGTTCACTATGTTATGTACATATTGTACATTCATTTAATTTTCTTGACTTTTGCGGTAAATTTCTAAGTGAGAAATAACTGATTTATTTGTGTTTTCGTGCTCACGATGTTAATTTGTGACTTCATTGCTTAAAAATAAATACGTTTGATACTTGATAGCTTCTATAAAATGGATGTAGCTTTTTATGCTGTTCTTGTTGTAAACTGCTTGTGGTTATTACATAAAATTTATTCTCAAATGTGAATCAGCGTTGTTGGTGTCGCTGCTTTCGAGGTCACTCCCGACTCCTGTCACACAATTAAAGTATTTTTTGTTGTTGGTTACATGTATGCCATATTTTTCGTAATCTACCTAATAAATTATGATTGACTGAGGAAGTCCGATTTTGGTCAGGCAAAACATTACAGGAATACATTTGTGTTAGTGTGCTGTAGGGCTCTCGAATTGTATAGTTCTTATGTATGCGTTGTAAACTTATGGTTATTGAATTTCCGGGAACCTCTTATATTCAATTTCGCACCAGGATTGTGGAACAAGCTGTAATGCGTTCATTATGTTCGTTTTCACACAAAACTGAAGAATTTATTTAGTTACCAGATGTGCGCTACGAAACTCATTTTCTGGGCGTTTTCATGGTTTCGTCTCACGGCCCATATCCGTGGTAAGGATCTACAAGTGTTTAATAATTTACTTATACATTTTTCAACAACGTCTTAGCATAACTTAACTAATAATAACTAAACAGGGCTATGGAAAGCCTGCCCAACTCAGCGCAAGGTCGAGCAGAAATAACTAATATTCATCCGCTCGCTAACAGCTGGTTTAATTCAATTGTTACGTCATGCAGAAGTCATTGTTCAGTGCCGAAAATGTAGAGAATATAGGACAGATCGTAGCACATATTTCTTGTAGTAAAAGCGTCTTTTCCGTAAAACGTGCAACTTTTGGAAGTGGGAACAAGGCAATATTTGTTACTAAATTTTTAAGGAACATTTTAAAATCATTTTCAGGTAGTTACCTGATGTGCGCTACGAAACTCACTTTCTAGGCGTTTTTCAGGGCCTCGGCTCGCGGCCCTACAATATCTAATTCACTTTCCTCTGAATTGCTTCCGAAATCCTCATTCTCGAAAATCGACTTTCCTCTATAAATGTACTGTGGTTTTTGCAGTCAATGCAAAAATCTGTGCAATTTAGGTTGTTTTTGGCACACATGAATAAATTATTTTGACATCAATTTTTCTTACCCTTGCAATTTGCCATCTCAAGAATCGATTTGGGGGCTGGAAGTAGATCCATCAATTCTAGGCAACAATGATGAAGTCCTGCCTGGTACTTTGCCCTCAGGACATGCTTCTTCAGTGAATCATTGTTGGGAGGAAAAGTATAATCCATATTTTTGCCAATTTTCAAAAGACTTGGTATCATTTACATTTTTCATATTCTCTTCTTACAGTGAACAAACAAATTACTCATCTTTATGTATTAATGACTCGTCTATCTCATAGGATCTTCATAGTTGAGGAAAACATGAATTGAAAAACTCAATGAAGTTCTCCAACATCAGTTTGATGGGCAGTTTCAATTGCAGAAATGTGCCAAAGTTTTCAATATGAATAGCCCATCTAAGCTGTTTGCAACTGTCATCTTCTCATATACCTTTACGCTTTTCTTCAAGACTTCTTGTTCGGTTCATTTTATTCTTACAGGTATAGCGCTGATAGCAGCCCGGATTAGAGCCTGCGTTAGGTTGGATTGGTGGAACATTGCCGTTTTCGTTTGTTGTACAGTATCTAAAATGAGGAAGAAAATCATATTTGGAACAGCATGTAAAAATACCGCTAAATACTGACTGATACTTTTCATACATAATGCATTTTATCTGATGCACTACAGTCCTGCAGTGTTTGCATACTAGACTACATCTACACTGAATCTCGATATATCACAGTCTGAAATGCCTAATAGACTATATTTTAAAACATCTACTGTCTGTCTACAACTTGATTTCACACCTCTCAATCGCTTCTAATGCTACTTTTCGTTCAACTCCGGCATAACTTATCATTGCTTCCCAGGTTCTTGTCGACTCGAATGAATTTAGACAAACTGACATCAGTAAAATTGATTATTTTCCCGTCCTTCACACAAACGCGCATTACAGAAACAGCGCCTTTTCCGTAAAACGTGCAACTTTCGGAAATGGAAACAAGTCATTATTTGTTACTAACTTTCTAGGGAACTTCCTAAAATCAGTTTCAGGTAGTTCCCTTATGTGCGCTGCGAAACTGAAAGATAAACGGCCTCTTCTCGCTATTAGTTGATAGCGGACTTGCTTTGTGTTTCTAATCAATACTTTTTAAACTCTAAAAAATTATACCAAGTCTTGTAGATCAATTGATATTGATACAGTCCCAATGCCGAGATAAATACTTTCTCTAAATAAACTAATGTTGTCTCATGGATGAATAAATAATGTATGTAGCTTGGAATTTTGTGATTGAAAGTTAAACCTTCTTACCGAGCTTGTCCATTTGTTTATTGAGTGTATACTTCAGTAGTATAAATCACTGCTGATATTATTTTTTATAATGTACTCTTCTTTGACTTTTGAATATGTCTCTCGAGGAAAATTTTTGAGTTGTCGTAGGCTACTCAGTTGGCTGTGAGGCCTAGCCTTGTTTGCAAGAACTTTAGTTATGTGCAATTTACTTTCGCGTACCGGTAGTTATTATCCCGATCGTTGTCCATCGGTAGTTGCTGCACCATTATTTACAGATCTCCGCGAGATGGCGTGCATGATTACAAAATGGCGGCGCCCATATCCCTTTCGTGCTTCTGCAAGAAACAACCGTAGCAGAAGTGGCTAAACTTGATGGATGCGGTATTTGGTTATCATATAACTGTATAACTGTAGTCATATAGCTGTATAATGTCAATTTTATGGGAGTAATGCAGGGATGTGGCAGAGCGTAATGCAAATGAGATCCAGGCTTAGGTTTCCAGCCGACTACCGGTACTGCTGTACTGTACTACAAGTCGGGAGGCGAACAACTGTTAGTTACGTACACGGACAACTCGACTACAAGAGAGGTCTGGTGAATTGCAGAATTGTCCGTATTTTCGCATTTTCTACGGCGAAGTTTTACAGTTTAAAGACTACCGGCAGATAGGAGTGTAATTTCGATCTTTTCAGGCTCCAACGTCGAGAAAAACACATTAATATTCTCTAGAAGGGATTTGGCTAAGTGTTAAATTTTGCTCATGTCAGCATGTTGTATAAATACAGTCTACAGACGAAACTGGGGCTGTCTGTTGTAACACTAGCGAAGACTGCTGACGTTATAGGACTGTGTGCGTGTAAATTTTTGAATTTTATTGATATTGGATGTTTTGAATGCGTATTTTCAAACATTTAAACCTTTATACATGACTGTAACACATATATATATTTACGAATGTGAGCTTCGTAGCCTGTACTTGATACATTCCCAGTTGTGCTTCTTGATCTTTTGTAGAAAGCCCCCTTCACTAATGCAAAAAATGTGAGATTTGAGAAAAAACGCCATGCTTCAAAGTAAAAAACTTATTAATTATTAGTTAGGGTTCGAGTAAGGAATGATTTGCAAATTTGAATTTCCCAGTACGGCACACTGTCCAAATTTCAAGAATGTCCAGTCATTTGGTTCAATAAAACAAACACTTCATGTGTCTCACAAACGAGGGTCTGGCACAACGGTAGATGTGTCATATTGTACCATGCTTGTCTCGATAATAATCTAAATTAATTGCAGCTGTCACGTGACCAAAATTGCCGTTTTTTGTTCATAACTTTCGAATGCCATGGTAGAAAATTTTTTCTCTTGGTAAATTGCATTATTTTTTCTTGAGGAATTCAATGATGACGATTTTAGATTGTACTTTTTTGCGCAACTTCAATTTACTGTAGTTTTACCGATATTGAGGGACAACCATGTTCAGACGTTCCCCGAAGGAGGGTCGTCTAATCATCTGTAAAATGGGTTCCCGAAACGACACAATGTTGCTCGATCTGTATAGTGTGCCGTACGGTTCCCAGCGCAATCTGTATTCCTAACCCTAACTGGATAATTACTAATTTTTTTTTAAAACGTGGTGGGGGTGGTTTTTTTGATGAGTGCTTTTTACTAAAGATCTATAATTCTGTGTCACAGCAAAGTTGCTTTGCAGACCCACTTCGTCTCTAGGAACCAATGTTCTGCGCTTGGAATACACTCACCAACGCATCTCTGATTACTCTGCATGGGTTTGCGAGTTTGAGTCCTGTGGAAATAACTATGTGTGAGAGAATCAAGTTCATGCATTTGAAACAAATTATTGGCTAACTAATTCCTTACACGACCTGAACCTGACGAGAGGCCGTGGTTCACCATATGATTAAGCCATCTTATCCACAACTTATTATACGTTCCGTTTATTGTCAGGTTGTTTAAAATAAATCGTGTGATTACTTTTTATCTCTTCAATTCATATAAATACTGAAATAAGATGTCAGAAGAGGAAAATTATCCATCAAGTGAGGAAGAAAGTGAAGAAGATGAATTGCATCATCCAAGATTGGCAGAAGATGATTCTGATGATTCAGACAGAGAGGTGAATATATCTAATAAGTTTTTTAATTAAATATGTCGCAAAAGACTGAAATTTTAATTCGATAATTACGATCATATTATTAATTACGATTGTATTATGACAAATAATATGCCATTGTGATGTCGAAATCTGTTGGACTTATATTATAACAATCAAATCCATTTTATATTTACATTTCTAGTTACAAGTTGCCTACAAAAGTGGTTTACTTAAACCAGGCTTATATTCAGAAGCGAAACCTGAGCGGCCAGCTGTCAATAATGTGGTAAGTTACTGTATTCAGTATTAAATTTTGACATCAGTAATGTTTTCATTTGATTAAAATGACTAAATTTTCCAATAATTCTGGAATTATTACTTTTATTCTAGGATGGGATTCAGGAGAAATTAGAAGAAATTGAACAGAAAGATATGGATTGGTTAGAGAGGCTTGATATAACAGTGGAAAGAAGATCAAGTATGTGCTTAGCGCTAAACTATTGTATCCTACAAACTTTTTCGAAACTGGGATTCTAGAAATACTCAATTCGTCACTGCTAAAAAGTATTAATTAAAATGTTTTGGCTCTTGCTTTAAACTACAGATCTATTGATAATGATAATTTAAAATATTAGAACCAAAATGCAAAAGATAGTTCCCAAGACAGATGAAATTTCCTATACTCTTCATTGCTTTGCTGCACCTCCTCTCATTTATTATTGTACTAATTAACAGTAATATTGGTGAAGTCAAAATATGGTATATTATTTGTATCAAATCAACAATATAACAACAGCTTGTTAAACTTTCTAGTTATGTATTGCCAATATTCATTTCTCGTTGCTCCGTGGTGTGGTGCATCGTTGACCCCTGCACCTCTGATTACCTATGTGGGTTTTTATGTTTTAATTGTGAGGATTAATTATGTGCAAAGAATTGCTGGACTCCTCACCGCCATAAGGGGTTAGTGTAACTGCTTGTTGGTTATGGCTTCCTCTGCCATCAAGTCGATGCATCTGAAACAAATATATACATACATGGCCGTGGTATGTCATGTGATTACGCTGTCTTATCGCCATCTCCTCTCCCAGAAATCCAAGATAAATATGTAAATCCTGTATTTATTACAGAAACTGATGAAATGTTTGAAGAAGGATTAAGTGCTGCTGAAGCTCAGGCTCAGGCACAAAGCAGATTATTTACTGTTCACAATGACTTTAAACGAGAACTCATGTTTCTAACACAAGCAAAAGATGCTGTATTAAAGGCAATTCCTCTACTGAAAATTGCTAATATTTCAACTGTAAGACCAGAGGATTATTTTGCTGAGATGGCTAAAAAAGATGATCACATGAAAAAGGTACAGCATTGTATATGTAATTTTTGGCCTTATGCATTTGACACATGGGAAAAATACTTTTTAAAAAGAAATTTTCATCCCAAAAATATTAGCACACTTACAAGATAATCGTATCTTTTCAGCTTTTTGACATATTTAGACTACTTGACTGTCAAATTAAATTGTGATTGATGGCCTGTTAATAATGTTACCATTTGTCATGTAGTGATATTTTTTACATCCAGGTTCGTCAAAAACTTCTGAGTTTACAACGACGTAAAGAATCTGCAGAAAAATATAGAAATCAACTGAAGTTAAAGAAATATGGAAAGAAAGTGCAGCAAGCTGTTGAACTAGAGCGAAAGAAAAAGAAAAGGGAAATTTTAGACAGTGTGAAAAAATTTCGAAAAGGTTTGAAATAAACAATGTTATAAAAAATATGTGCATATGAATAACCTAATTCCAGAGTTCTCTTTCAGTATTTGCTCACAAATTTCCTTGTTGCTTTTTTAATATTCAATTTCATGGATTATTTTGTTGCATTGCAACAAATTTTAATGAAAAAACTGACTTCTAGGTCTAAGCCCTATTTCTAATTTTGTTATCATTGAAAACTTGGAATCACAAGCATATAATTGTAGTCTGGTTCATTCCATTCCTGTTAAGTAGATCAGGACTCAACTATTTTCATCGAAGATCCGCATACAAAACTTCAAAATCATTTGGGTCTGGTCTTTCCAGAAATTATATTCGGCCTCCTTATTCGCACACTTCCTCGACTGGCTAATGATTATTAGCTAATCAAGATTGTTTATTATGGTGGTTCATAAAAGTATTTCATAAAAGGGAACTTCAAAAGTGGGGCTAATGATGCAAAATAAAGAATTAGGTGCGGCCGAAGCAAATACTCGAAAGCATTCGGACTGCGGTCTGCCAGTTGAGTAGCCTAAAGTGACTATATTATATTGTAAGGCCCACATTTATGACATGACGCACTATAACATATTGTCACTTGAGCTTTTTGAGAAATAGTTGTGGCCATCACCCAATGCTTAGCTATATTAAACTATTTTCAGGGAAAACAGACAGCATGGATTTTCTGGATGATGAGAGGGAGTAAAACCTGGCAAGAAATCTCAACTACAAAAAGTCGAACAACAAAGGTAAGGTAATTATATGACATGATAAAGAAGAAATATAAGTATTTTTATAAATATGAATCTATTTTTTTCACAAAATTCGTTTTATTTCACAGGCAGTGTTTAGGAGGCCATCATTTTCATTCATGATTTTTTTCACGATAATCTTTGTTACCTGGATGCTAAGTCCAATTGTCATTTTCCTGTGTGAATTCCTCCAGGCTTTGGTATAAATGAAATTGCGGTGCTTGATGTTCAAAATACAGGGTTTGTTGAATTTTGCTTATAAAATTTAAAGATAATGTTGTTTCATTGCAGAAAGAAAAGCAGAACCTTTCGTAATAAAAAATTTGGTTTTGGTGGTAAGAAGAAAGGAATGAAATCAAATACTGTGAAAAGTGTGAATGATGTTTCAGGGTTCAAACAACCCAGAGTGAGTTCTTTTTTTGCTTTTATTCTGCTTTTTTTCATTTGTAGAAGGCTACGTATTATCACTGATTTCAGTTTGAAATTAAAAAAAATTCCGTCCAGTAGGATGTGAAATTGGCTATTTTTTATGTAAAATTTGCTATTTTCAGTGTGAAATCATTATGCTATGCAATTAATTTTAAAGTATACTTCTGTAACAGCGAACTATAGGGACATTGGCATCCCTTAATTATATTTTGTGTGATGATAGAATAACGAGTATGAAGTGGATAAATGAAAAAAGTTTATAGATTAGATTTATTTTTTTAAGTTTTTTTTTTATTATTAGTAGTGTTAATTAGAACAATAGAACAATACCAAAATTCAGCTACCTAACAATGTTTATTTTATAGGGTAAAAAGAATTTTAACAACAAACGACCTGGTAAAGGTAAAAGACAACAGATGAAAAATAGGAACAAATGATAACAATTGCGAAGAAGTGATATGCTGTAACCTAGCGAATAAATTTGTTCAATAATAACTAGTGAAGGTATGACGATTGAAAAAACGTTGCGACTGAGGTGAAGAAGCGTGTACAAATCATCCCACCTATAGCTAAAAAAACAGTTTCAGCTGTAAAAAGCTGTTGTATGGAATAAATAGGAGAATTTCTGTACAGACGACAATTGTAACGATAATCAACTTATTTGCAATCATATTTGTCATTTACAATGTGTGTTGTCACATAGTCCATTTTCAATCGATTTTGTTATTTTCTTATGGTGACTTGTGGTTGTACAATTTACAAAATATTGACTGATCAATTGTTAGGAAAGTCTTGGATGGAGAAAATCAAAAACTGCTTGTGATGAATTTCTAATATAGAATATCAGCTCTTGGAGTTTTGTATTTATGCATTTTCTGGTTGTTGGTTGCAAATTTTCTGTTTGAATGAACAACTGTAAAAACAAGCACAAATGCAATCTAATGCTCATAAAATAGCCTTAAACTAGGCCTATGTGGGGCAGCCATAATCTACATTATTTGACCGCCCTACAGTCAAGCCAGAAAGCCAAGGTCGCTGAACAATTTTAACTTATTTACAAACTACAACGAAACGAGCGCCATTCTCTGCAAAAATAAAGCGCTATCTAAAACAAATTACCGAAACTATCCCTGTCTAAGCGAGACATGTCTGGGCAAGCAATTGCCACGAAGACCCTCTCAATTGTTTCGTAACAAAGTGTGTGGAAGGACACTGTCAATCATGAGAAATTACGGCGTCAACAATAACAAATAAACGAGAATATCGGTCGGAGACCGAAGACTTATCGATCTTAGATCGGTAAATAGTTAATAACTCGCTAATTATACGACATAATTAACCCATTATTATTATACCCATTAATTGATAGGCGTCTGGTCCGAGGTAAGGTGCATGCACATGCAAAATTTGGAGCAGATTCAATTACGCGTTCGTGAGATATCGCGTTCATCTAACAGACACACACACACACAGACATACATACAAATACCTATCAATATACTTACCGATCTTAAGATCGATAAGTAATTAGTACACAAGTTAAACGGACGCAATGTTTAAGTCAATACAAAAAATCAAGTGAATGCGATTCTCGATGTAACAATAAGGAACATTGCTCACTACGCAAGTCTATTTGGAAATTGAAAACAATGAAGTAGACCAAAGCAGCATTAAGTCGTCCTGTAACCTAAAACATGACGTCATAATACACTTTCCTAGTCGCGGGCGACGGGTCTTTTGCTTTTAAATTAGAAAACACCTATTTAGAGATTAAAAAATTCAATAACTAGCACTACACACATTTGTGCTTCGGAGAGATGTTGATAGTTTTTTCTCAAAGATGTGAAAAAATCCTAAAGACTGAGATGCTATGATGTCACATATTTAGGTATACATCCGAAATAACTCTAAAATCTGACTTTTTTACTATTTCTGACAAAGATTGGAAAAAAGATTTATCAAATATCTTTATCTGATGCCTGAAGTTTATGTTCATTTACTTGGTCTGTCGAATATTGTCGGTCTCGGAAACACAACGAAAATATTGCATAACGACAAATATCGAATATTTATAGGAGGAATAAATTCAAAAAATGTGTTGGGCATGACTCTAATTTTCACATTTATAAACTCGTTTGATCCATTTTCCCGAGAACTAATGTCTGTTATAGTGTTTGGGCGAGGAGAAGATTATTATTACCGGAGTGGGCACCAAGTAAAATATTAATAATTCATTTGAACGACATCATGTTTGATCAGACAGGAATATCGTTTTCAACAGCCACACATGGCTGAAATCAAGTCAGTGTATGTTTAAATTGATAAATATCACGCGATGCTCTGTGATCTTGTAAAACGCCTCATATCACGTGATCATATAAACCCACGTGATCGTCGCTTGTTCAAGCTCGTACGAGTCACAGCTAAACTCTATTTCCAAAATTGTGTATTATGCCGTCATGTTTTTGGTTACATGACGACTTAATACAGCTTTAAACTCCTTACTTGTTTTCAATTTCCAAATCGACTTGCGTAGAAAGCAATGTTCCTGATAACTGCAATTCTGTATAATGAACAAAAATGTAGAAATCCAATTATGATGTCATAATAAATTTCGTGAAAAGTTAAACGTTCCTTAAACGTCATAATGCATTTCTAAAACAACAATATGACGTCGTAATGAATTTTTGCAATATGTACAATACAGAATATTATATCGTCACACATTTTTCAATTATAAATGCCCCTCTCCCTTCAGAAATTCTTGGTACGCCACTACTGGTATCCTACGCGCATTAAACGTGTACCCAAATAGTCTCATTGATATATATAAAATGGTATTTTACGATAAAAACTAAATCAGATTATCCAAGATAGGTTAAAGGTAGGCATAAAATTTTTAACGATGTACGTTTGTTAAGACTATATAGTGAGTTTTCTGAGTCTGTAGACCAACTTGTGTTCGATTCGTAGCAGAATTAAATTTGCAAAACTTGTTATCGTCTTTGACTCATCCTGTACTGCTTGTGTTGAATTAGGTCTTTACACTTTTCGTCGCTCATGACTTAATTGCACCGCCCACAAATTCAGAGAACGTCACTTCTCGAATAGTTTTCAATGCTTCTTCGTATTTTCGCAGGCCTGCAAGATTTTTAAAACATATCACGAAAACAATCATCAAAATGGCTACAAGAAAGCACTATCTTGTGGTCACATGGTACGAATGGCCGTGGCGTGGATGCAATTGTACGTGGCGATATATGTTCAGGGGTACAATGAGTGGGTGTAAATGTCCATCGGTACGAATGTTCATGAGTGCTAATATCCGTGGGTGACTTGTGCTTATTCATTAAAATGATGACTTATAATTGTATATATATACAGTGGTAGATTCAATTTTTTTGTCAGCCGGTTCCTTCACAGAAGTCATATTTTTTGAGCCAGTTCTGTTACAAACAGAAAATTGACAGTAACCAGTAATTCTAACCGGTTCGCTGATCTCATAAAATTCCGTGAGGCGCTTCTATAGAACCGGTGCGAACCGGCTGGATCCCATCACTGTATATATATATATGACTGTTTCTCAAATTTTACATGCCACGGTGAAATCTTTTGCTATATACACTATACTCATAATGTACATCCGATTCTTTGAAAAAAGTTAACAATAGTCGTCCTAGTTAGCGACACATAAAAAAAATACTACATTGAATTCCGTGGAAATGGCCTAATCAAATTCTGATAATCGATGCCAATTAAACTGATGATAATGACATCCACATATAGAAATTTTCAATCCGTGATATGAAAGAAAGCTTGGGATTAACCTTTAACTGTATTTCTATTCAAATTTGATATCATTAAAATTCCATACGCTATGGATATATCCTGAAATATATATTGGAAAATTGGTTTGATTTCCGCTAGTCGATTATTTTTTGGTGAAAGTTGGAAGTTCGTGAACGGTATTTGGTAAATTCAATTGAAGGATATTCTATTCATCATCTTTATAAGAGATATTATGGGCCATATTGGCGGATGTAGGAGATCCAAATCACATTTTTGTTGGAAATAGAGTTTAGCTGTGACTCGTACGAGTTTGAACAAGCGACACGATCGCTTCCTAATTATCAGCCAATCACATGGGTTTCTATGAACACGTGATATGAGGCGTTTTACAAGATCACAGAGCATCGCGTGATATTTATCAATGTAAACATACACTGACTTGATTTCAGCCATGTGTGGCTGTTAAAAACGATATTCCTGTCTGATCAAACATTATGTCGTTGAAATGAATTACTAATATTTTACTTGGTGCCCACTCCGGTTATAATAATCTTCTCCTCGCCCAAACACGATAACAGAGACTAGTTCTCGGGAAAATGGATCAAACGAGTTTATAAATGTGAAAATTAGAGTCATGCTCAACACATTTTTTGAATTTATTCTTCCTATTCATATTCGAAATTTGTCGTTATGCAATATTTTCGTTGTGTTTCCGAGACCGACAGTATTCGCCAGACCAAGTAAATGAACATAAACTTCAGGCATCAGATAAAGATATTTGATAAATCTTTCAAAACTTTATTCCAATCTTTGTCAGGAACAGTAAAAAAATCAGATTTTAGAGTTATTTCGGATATATACCTGAATATGTGACATCATAGCATCTCAGTCTTTAGGATTTTTTCACATCTTTGAGAAAAAACTATCAACATCTCTCCGAAGCACAAATGTGTGTAGTGCTAGTTATTGAATTTTTTAATCTCTAAATAGGTATTTTCTAATTTACGAGCAGAAGACCCGTCGCCCGCGAATAGGAACGTGTATTATGACGTCATGTTTTAGGTTACATGACGACTTAATGCTGCTTTGGACTACTTAATTGTTTTCAATTTCCAAATCGACTTGCATAGTGAGCAATGTTCCTTATAACTGCAATTTTGTATAATGAACAAATGTAGAAATCCAATTATGATGTCATAATAAATTTCGTGGAAAATTAAAATTTATCAAACGTCATAATGCATTTCAAAAACAATAATATGACGTCGTAATGGATTTTTCGCATGATGTACAATACAGAATATTATGTCGTCACACATTTTTCAAATATAAATGCCCCTCTCCCTTCAGAAATTCTTGGTACGCCACTACTGGTATCCTACGCGCAATAAACGTGTACCCAAATAGTCTCATTGATATATATAAAATGATTTATTACGAGGAAAATCAAATAAGATTATCCACGATAGGTTTAGGGCAAGCATAAAGTTTCAAAGAATGTACATTTGTTAAGGAGGTACATAGCTTTTTGATTCATGAAATTATTTTACAGGACGATGTTTTTAAATACATGGTGTGGGCCGGTAGTCTGGCCACCAGATGGCTGGAATGCGATTGCGGCACCGCCACACGCTGCGCTAATTACTTATCGATTTTAATCGGTAAGTATGTTGATAGGTATTTGTCTGTTTGTTTGTCTGTCTGTCTGTCTGTTAGATGCACGCGATATCCCACGAAAGCGAGATTGAATTTGCTCCAGATTTTGCATGTGCATTCATCATATGTCGGACCAGAAGTTCATTAATTTTGGATGAATTATGTCGTATAATTAGCGAGTTAATAATTAATTAGTGATGGGACACAAGGTGTCACTATGGAGTAAGAACGCTGTTTTGGGGGTTCCCCTAACTTTCGATCGATAAGTCTACGGTTTCTGACCGATATTCTCGTTTTAATCTTGATGACGTCTCTCACAGTTTTGTATCGAAATCCCGGCGTGGTCGCCATTATCACAGATGAGTTTTTGCTACTGTGGTTGTAAGATCAGAAGACCCAAGATTCCGGATTGGTTATTTATTGAAAACAGAGACTCGATTCTTTAAATAGCAGAAGCATCAGACACGACTGAAAAGCAGCCGACCTCCAGCAAGAGATACATTTTCTCTAGCACGTGTTATGGATGGTTGGAGTCCCATAATACAACTTTGGACGTTAACACAATTCTCAGGCCAGGCGAAACCGCATCGAATAAAAAATCAGCTCATTTTATAAACAAGAAAAAAAATATATATACAAAACATAAACAGGAACACTATGGTTGCATTACCACACAAAACTTCAAAGTGTAAAACGAATTTCATAAAGCCCACAGAGATGTTTGAAATAAATGAAAATAATAGCCTTGGCAGCATAAATGTTACGTTATGCATTGTCTTTGCTTGATAGATCAACGTTGTATCCAACAATATATTTCTGCTATTTTATACATGTCATTGAAACTATTTGCGTACGTTGATGAGTATAAAATACTGGTAGTGGCGTGCCAATGATTTCTGACAGGGAGAGAGGGAATATATAATGTGTGTGTGACGACATAATATGATGTAATATTCTGTTTTTTACATATTGCAAAAAATCTTTTACTACGTTATATTCTTGTATTTAGAAATCAAAAAGTTCAATTCAAAAATTCAACTAACAACTAGCACTACACACTTCACATTCATTTGTGCTTTCGGAGAAATGTTGATAGACCATAACTCCTAAAGTTTATGTTCATTTTCTTGGTCTGTCGAATATTGCCGGTCTCGGTAGTATAACGAAAAAAGTGCATACCGACAAATTTCGAATATTTATAGGAAGAATAGTTTCCCGAGAACTAATGTCAGTTATAGTGTTTGGGCAATGAGAAGATGCATTATAACTGAAGTGGGCACCAAGTAAAATATTAGTAGTTCATTTCAACGACATAATGTTCGATCAGACAATAATATTGTTTTTTACAGTCACTCATGGCTGAAATTCGAGTGGGTGTATGGTTAAAATGATAATATAATGCGATGCTCTGTGAATCTCGTCAAATAACTTAAATCACGTGATCATAAAGTCCAGTGCTCTTCAACCCTAGGGTTCCGCAATACATGCAGTTGGGTTCCGTGAGTTTATAGGGTTCCTTAGGAGTTCCTCGGAACCCTAGGGTTAAACAGAGGGTTTAGTCACAGTGCAGTTAATAGACAAAACATAAATACTTTCGGTTGTTGCGTTACTTTAGTCATTGTTATTAACAACTAACAAGAACGCTATTGTTGCACCATATTTACATGATGTTCAAAGTATGTAGATATTGCTCGTGACTAGAGAGAGTATATACTACAAACTTGAGTTGTTGTTCAGCTTTTTGTGTATTTCGTGTTTTTTTCCTTGATTTTGTTAATTGGGGTTCCATAAGAAACGAAAAATTATATCAGGGGTTCCACAATAACAAAAAGGTTGAAGAACACTGATTATTTATAAACCCATGTGATTGGCTAATAATTATGAAGCGATCGCGTCGCTTGTTCTAACGGTGATTCGTACGAGTCACAGCTAAACTCCACTTCCAAAAAAACTGTAATTGTATAAAATACCTCATTTGGATCCCACATCCGCCAATATGGCCCATAATAGCTGTTATAAAGATAATGAATAGAATATCCTTGAATAGAATTTACCAAATACCGATCACGAACTTCCAACTTCCACCAAAAATACTCGACTAGCGGAAATCGAATCAATTTCCCAATATTTATTTCAGAATATTTTAATAACGTATGGAAGTTTAATGATATCAAAATTCGAATGAATTCATAGCTTGAGCCCTATATCATATATCTATATTCATTACCAAAGTTGCTTTCATATCACGGATTGAAAATTTCTATATGTGGATGTCATTATCATCAGTTTTATCGGCATCGATTATCAGAATTTGATTAGGCCATTTCCATGGAATTCAATGCAGTATTATTTTTTATGTATTGCCATGAGGGAGACTATTGTTAACTTTTGTCAAAATATCGGAAGTAGAAGTCTATAAATAGCCATCATTTCTTACTGTAAATCACAGTTTCGTCGAATGAAACTCAGACAAACAACAGGAAAGATGAAAACAACACTTTTGATTCTTCTCATGCTGGGACTTGGCATCAAGTGAGTTACACCAAAAAGTATTTGTCAAGCTTCTTTTATCAAATGTTGCAAGTATTGTCAAGTAAATCCATTTGCGTGACGAGATAACCATTCCAATTGACCAACTCCCGAACAAGAACATTGTACCTCACAATTTAATGCTTGAACCTAAAGATTCATAACAATATATTTTTATGACAGTCGACTTAGCTCAATTCTTATAAACGACAATAATCAGTAAATGTAAAAACATTTTTTATACATGTTCCATTGATCCCACGTCAAAATGAGACGCGGTGCCTCCACGAACAATGGCAAAAAAGTACCTTCAGACTGGTCCAAAAACTCAAAACAAAGTTTCTTTTAGTTTAATTATAAATTTATATGAAGCATTTTTTAAATAACACGACAATTCAATGTAGTATTTACAAATATATATATTAGTAATTTTTCTAATGCCAAGAATTATCTTTTTTTCAGTGCAAATTCCCTGGAGGAAAGTAAGTTTTAAATTTTATTTGAAATATACCTCATTATTTCAGTTTATTCCTTCCATTTATGAGTCTGCAGAGAGATATACCCCCCCCCCCCCCCCCTCTGACCACGCCATCAATAAGTCATTTCGACGTCACAATCACGTCAAAACGAGGCAGATGGCTGAATTTAGTGAGTTTGTTATCTTTGTCGTAGACACTAAATCGGGAGCTCGTCGCTCTATTGTGGCAAGCTGTATTACGTGATTGTGTCGTCGCAGTCACGTAATGTTTGGATGACGTAGTCAGCAGGTAAGGGTGATAAATTAAATATGCAAAAATTGATTTTCCACACTCGCTCGAATTACTTGTGGTATTGTACCTTGTAACGGTAGCTATTCCATAGTTCCATCTTTGTTCAAAAAAAATATATATTTTGGTCGTCGGGATTTTTTACGGATTTGGCTCATAAAATTGCTCTTTTGTTTGTACAGTTGTTCACATTGGCCCGGGATCCGAACAATTTTATGAGTTAACTCCATTTTTTATTAGGTAAAGGATGGCACTACGACCAACAAGACGCTGGTAAGGGATGGCACTACGACCAACAAGACGCTGGTAAGGGATGGCACTACGATCAACAAGACGCTGGTAAGGGATGGCACTACGACCAACAAGACGCTGGTAAGGGATGGCACTACGACCAACAAGACGCTGGTAAGGGATGGCATTACGACCAACAAGACGCTGGTAAGGGATGGCACTACGACCAACAAGACGCTGGTAAGGGATGGCACTACGATCAACAAGACGCTGGTAAGGGGTGGCACTACGACCAACAAGACGCTGGTAAGGGATGGCACTACGACCAACAAGACGCTGGTAAGGGATGGCACTACGATCAACAAGACGCTGGTAAGGGATGGCACTACGACCAACAAGACGCTGGTAAGGGATGGCACTACGACCAACAAGACGCTGGTAAGGGATGGCATTACGACCAACAAGACGCTGGTAAGGGATGGCACTACGACCAACAAGACGCTGGTAAGGGATGGCACTACGATCAACAAGACGCTGGTAAGGGGTGGCACTACGACCAACAAGACGCTGGTAAGGGATGGCATTACGACCAACAAGACGCTGGTAAGGGATGGCACTACGACCAACAAGACGCTGGTAAGGGATGGCACTACGACCAACAAGAGAATGAAAACGATCAATGAAAAAGTTTTAAACAGATACGCGACTTGAAGACGGACGGACCCGGCAGAACATAGATATTTCTCGTTTTCTTAGATTAAAGGCTAGCCTTATTATTCGGAATATAATACTACACTGCATTCAACATTTGTATGTTCATTGTGTTTGGCGTGATGTTTTGGGGACGATTCAGTTTTTATAACGAGAAGAACAAGGGGCATAACGTCAACTATATTCTGATCCTGTCACTACCAACTGATATAAACGTACCCACCTAGCATCATTTAGTATGTTGAAACTGGCATTCCACGAAGGCATGTTTAGGGTAAAAGTTTTGTTATCCTAAAAATGATAGCCGAAGTTGTAGCCGAATTGTTTTGATCTGCTGTCGGATTCGAATTTTCTTATGAGCCAGATATCAGAACCGGATTTCGAGTAGGTTCAAAGGTTGTTTTCGCTGACATTCTTCCCTGCAGCATTTAGATCATGTTAGATAAAGCCGGATTTGAAGCACTTTAAATCTATATTGTAATAAAAACTGCATAAGGATAGAGGGTATTCCACAACACAGAGGTTCTTTATAAAAGATTTAATATAGAAATTTAGTTATTCAAAACCAAAGAGCATCATAGTAGAATTTTAAACATTTCGACAAAAAATAGGATTCGTAAGAGAATACGCTCCGATAATAAGTTCACAGAATAATTCAGAATAGCAACATCTTATATATATCAAGCATTCCTCAATGTGATGTTTTGGGTTCCGGTTGGGACAGCGCAACTATCATATCATGTCTCATTTCCATTATTTTTCGCAATTATTATTTTAATAGCGAGTAACGCGTCAGAAAAACAGGCACACTAGAAACAACTATCGGAGAATTTTATCGTGCACTCCACGTTTCAATTCTAGCATAACAGCATATTTTTCACATATATGTATCGTATGTATACTAAAACTTTCTCCATTACTTTTCCTTTTGAAAGGCATCGTGTAAGGCAAAAAGATAGGTTGGAATTTAGAATCGTGTTTGTTGCATAATTCAGACGCAAGCAGACGAAAGTTCCGTGCGTCCTCGTGTTATGCAAACTAATTTCTAACATTAAACCTGACCTAAATATACAATCCACACTGCACTGTAGACTCTTGACAATTTACGATCAGGTGCACATGCCTTTTATAAACAATGATCAGCGTTCATATTATAAAGTACCTGTATTTGTCACGTTGAACAATGTTTGTTACGTAATAAAATCATCAAATTGATGTATTTTTGAGAAACACTAGCATGACATCAAAACTTTACTCGACAGTGCTTTTGTGTCACAGTCGAGAAACCGCTCCGAGGTCCCCCTAAAACTGCTTCGCCGATCCCTAAGCGCTAGCGGACCTATTTTTATTACCGTTGTGCTAATGCAAGGCGTTTGAATTGAAATGCCGAGTTCCATTTCCTGTGTGGCAAAAACACATGTAATCTAAAAAGGTTGGAGAGTGTGTCTATTATCTCGTCGTTTATCCTACTTTAATTACGGGTATCAATCGCTGCAGTAAACTCTTTAGGTGTCGCTGCCTGAAGACCTCTTGAGGTCCCTCGCGACTCCTGTCACACAATTTAAGTTAGTTTCCACTTGTATTTGTAATTATTTTTTTTATATCATACCATGTTTAAATTGTGTTGACGAATAAATGATGAATGATTGATTGATCTTCTGCTCAACTTAATATTCATTTTTTTTTATAAACATTTGCCATAATGGACAGACTTGTCCAGTTGCGAGCAGTTTTGCGAGTCCGTGTCCCTACTAAAATTTAAGGTTAACAAAAAAATTGGTTCCAAACAAAACTTTCGTTAGCACACATCATAACAAGTATGAATGCTACAATTTAATCCACAGACAGATAACAAATATCTGAACAGGCAGACTTTAATTTTGATTAATAAACGTCACCAAAAATACAAGATAATGTCTAATATAGTGTTTTAAAAATTTGTAATATGTTAATATATATTCTATTTAATCATTCGTCTCTAAATATTTTAACAATGATTTCTTTTGCATGCTTGCATCTCTCCACGTTTGTTACAGGTATTCGGTAACATACATCTTCGTCTCCGACTTTTGTGTCCACTTCCACTTGTCACAGAACAAGGTCCCGAGGATGACCATGTGAGATCATAAAACAAAACTTTGAAACAATGAGTTAAATTAAATAAATACAATAAAAAGATCCTATCTTGTATTCAGCTGTATCGTCTAGTTCAGGGGTCTCTCATATTTTATTCATTTTGTAATAATTAAATTATAATTTCAATAATTTCATTTCGCGTTTTTTATGACGAAATAAACAAGTTTCAGTCAGATCATTAAAGTGTGCAGTTATGAATCATTAATTCTGCATATGTGCGGTTAACGCAAAACTAGATCATTTTGAATTTTGTATAAACTAGGAAACCCATACACAATGCCCAAGAAGTAAAACAATGCTCGGAAGAGAACAGAATATTTTAAGATATGTGAAAGAATATTTGTTTTGTGTGAAATTATGATATCAAGTTTCAGTGTCTCATGTGTTGTGCAATGATTGGTGTTCAAAATGAATACAACATCCGCGATATTACGACATGACTCATTACACAGGGAAAAATACCATGTCTATACTAAAACAATTCGTTATGAAATAGTATCGCAATTAAAACTTTCACTAATGAAACAGAGAACTTTTTTCTCAGACATAAACAAACAGGTGAAGCTTCGATGAATACTTTGCCATCAGTAGGATGATTGCGAAATCGTCGGGTTATTTCACTGAAGGAAGTTGTAGTAAAGAGTGTATGTCGAAGTAATGGCAGAATTATTTTTCAACAATAAAAGTTAACTAATCAGCTTTTCGCGCACGACAAACGGACAAGATGGTGCATGCTGTTAAGACAAGCAAACCAACACTAAATAAGGCCAAGCATCGAATATCTCAGCTCTACAAAACGGAGCAAATATCCAGCACAAGTAAATGAATGTTTCATGCCTCGTTAGGTGAAAGATTCCAGTGCAATTTCAACAAATATATTAAGATTTTTTTGTTATTTTTGGGCTCTCCCGTAGCATGTGCACCGAGATGTCTGTCATCCTGGTGCATCAATTTCATTTCAACATCAATTTTGTACCTAATTTGTTGGTTTACGGCCCGCGTCTTTAAAAAAATTTCAAAAAGTGGCCCGCGACATATTTCGAGTTGCAGACCCCTGGCTAGTTCTAGTTCATCCTTTGCGCTTCTTGCTCTAGTCTTTCAGCTTTGAGCATCTAATTTCATTTTATCCGCTGCCATTTTAGCATCGTGTTCTCGCTTTTTTGCGGCATCTTTTTCTACTTGCTGCCAAATACTAACATGAGCAAGTTTTCTAATGGCAATAGCTTCTGTACGTTTAGTACTCGAACTTGAACTGGCACATGAACGACTGGAACTTTTTCCAGAAATTATAGAACGTGCTTTAGGGCTATGCGTCGATGATTTATGGCCATCAACGTCAGACTTTTTGAACCAATCGCGTACGTGCACATTGAATTCTTGAAACTCGCGCAGTTCACACTGGAAAAATTCGCTGACATTTCTCCGATCTTCTTCAGAACGTAAAGTACTCACATGAATTTCATGCGCATTTGAATACTCTGTGAACCGTTTGTCAATGTCAGCAATTTTCGATTTCAACAAATCCCGATTTTTGTAGTCTGACATAAGACTTTCAGCATCTTGATATAGTTCCTTCAGACGAGCACGTAATTCCTCTAAATTTGATTTCGAAACAGATTCTGCGTCCAATTGTACAATTACAGTGCTCATCAAACAAGCAACCCAAAAGTTTAAATGGTCAACAGTAGGATGATTTCTTTCAATTTGACGTTATACCGAACTCCTGCCGGCATTCAACGATACTTTATTTATGCAATATCAAACGTTATATGCATAAATTCGATAACTTTATTTGCGGAAATTCGAGAACTTTATTTGCATAAATTCGATAATTTTAATTGCAGAAATTCGATAACCTTAATGTAACAGCCGTTCTTTGTGACCTGGACGACACCGACTGCACACTAGACATTTATTAACAGTTCAATAACGCGGTCTTTCAAGCCCCAAGTTTGTATCCTCAATCCAGAAAATCACACAACTCGAAGTATACAGTTGACACGGTTATCTTAATACAAACGTAAAAACAAATCAATACAAAATACTTGCAGTGAATAAATAATCATACACAATTCGGCTTTTAAAAAGCCTACTCAAATTTATGAACACAATCATCAAACATAGTTAATTAACAAGACGAACTAAATTATTATTAAATAACTTGCATGCAGCCTTCAAATCAGAAAGAATTACAAAGTACAACATACCGAATTTGTCTGCTATTCCAGGCTTAAATTGTCATAAGTTGAACAAGAAATCATTCGCCAATGAAATCCGAACAATTCAAACAGGGTTAAAGATGTCTAGAATCCTATTAGAACGAATAATTGCCTTTTAAAAATATTTTGACATAGTTGTTCTAAACGTAATTGATTTTTCTATTCGCCACAAATTCATAATGTTATAAAGCAGGGATCACCAACCCGTTGCCCGCGGGCACCAAGTCGCCCGCAGGTCTGTTCCAAAATAAGCTTAATAACGGCGCTTATAAGTAAGCTACATCAATTAATTTTTGTCATGTCATTCTTGTATAAATCATCCTCATGTCTTATAAGGGAACTGAGAATAACACTATGTTAATTAATATGGTAACGATCATCCTAACTTTTATTTGACCTCGGTAATGTGACGGGTCATTTCATACTCTCCCAATTATGACATCACACAGATGTCAGTATGTCACCTTCCACGAACCCGCGTTTTTTAGTGTCCGTTGATTTGTGGAGCAGCAATGCCAATAATACAATTACTGATTTCAAAGAAAAATGGCAGTAAAATGAAAGAAAACCTACCATTTTCACGATGAATGGAAGGTGGATTTACTTTTACCACCGTGAAAACAGCTTGCGTATGTCTCATTTGTGGGGCGATTATAGCGACGACAAAGCGAAGAGACATTTCACATCTTGTCACTATCCATTGGTCAGCGCAGTGCGGGCAGAAAAAACTCTCCTTTTCTTTCATACAGCAATTATATGTTACAAGATCGGTGTTTGGTTCAAGACATCTTTGTGAATCAACATTTTTTGACATGAACTTCACAAGGAACTAAGCACGGAATACGCCTTACTGATGAAAATCTGCAAGACCCGCTCAGAGTTACAGTGTTAAGTTACACGCCGGAGTACAACACAATGGTGGAGAGCATTAGACCAGATTTGTTCGATTTTGGTTTTCTCCTTGTTGAAAACAAGATATTCATAATTAGGTAAATGTGTTTGTAAATGTAACATTTGGCAGTACAATTGTTCATTTCATCTTGGGGTTATGCAGGGTGTTTGTAAAAAGTAGGTACATTGTGGACCTGTGGTTGCCGAGGATATTAATGTAGTGATCACTTTAAAATAAATTTGAAAAACACTCAGTTTGAAAATGAAAGTGTCATTGCTAGTAATTTGTTTGCTACGTCGTGATAATCGTTTGATTTTCTGAAGAATCCTAGAGTTTATCAGTGTTTTTACTTGAATAAATACCGGTACCAGTATATATCAATAATTGAAGGTTAATCGAGCAAACTGACTTTTTTAAAAGTGTACATTGAACTGGTAGCCCTCGGCTTAATCGGTACCAAAAAGTAGCCCTCGGCTTCGAAAAGGTTGGTGACCCCCGTTATAAAGGCTCATCTTGAGAAGAAAAAGAGATAAAGATTCTCGAATTTGACCTCAAATATAAATCTTGGGGCGACATTTCCTACTTACAAGTTAATGCGAGACTTTGGAAAATTTGCTGAAAGTGATTCCAAGATGGAGGATATTCGATAAGGCAGATGTATCATTATGCCCCTGACAGATTCGTATTCTATAGCCTTGGCCAATCAAGTTTATTCTTTCCAGTCAGCAAAAATAGCATACAAAATTACGGTAAGAAGAAACAAAATTGGACACTCGATTTTACTTTGGAACGGAAACCGCTGGTACTAAAGCCCGTTATCAAGCAGCCAAGGTTCCGTTTTAGTTGAGGAATTTCAGTTCTCATAGTCTAGCTTTGGCAGCGAGCAAGGACCAGAAAACATTTTGTGTGGGTTAACGTTGCAAGTCTTATTAAATTTTTTTATTATGCGTGCAAACTTCTTAAAATTGGTAGTGTGATCACAGTCTATAGTTGTTATGCTAACAGACAGGTTTATGTAATATGATTTGCGAAGGCATGGAGTTTACAAATAAATACAGCTGAATAGAATTTTCGGTGTATAATCTTTTGTTGCCAAAAGTGTGCATGGATTAAAATTACCGTTAAATAAAAATATACATCGGCGTTATGATACTGGTGAAAACCTATTTAACAATAATTATTGATTTCAAAAGCGTAGGTGTTGTAACCAACATATATTGTTGCTGGTCAAAGCCAAAATCACGGGCCTATTGACACTTACGCAGTCGTGTGTTGAAAATCTATTTTGAAACGAGAGAATCTTCAAATTCCACGCCGTACGATCTAAAAACGACAGCATAAAGTACGCCACAGTCCGAGACTAGCAGCATTAACATGGGTTATAAACTTTACTGTGATTATACGATTAATCCTGACGTTTTCACAATACAACAATATGTGTAATTTAATAACGCGTTTGCACTTAATTTCCCTATATATATATAAAATAACTTGAAAATAATAGGTTTTGAGAACGTCCCATCGAAAATTTACCACCGAGAGCTTGGTGCTATGTGATTCAATTTAAATAAAAATTAAAGCTAAACTTTATAGGACGTGACTTCCACCCCTTTCGTTATATCGTGGAAGACCGCAAATCTTTGGCAATCTTTTTCGCACTGCATCCCAGTTTGTAATTGTTTATTTTTTTGCAGAGCGGCTGTCGAAAAACACAAACATTCAGCAAATTGAAAATTTATTACAACTCGTATTTATTTAGCAGTAAGAACCTTGAGCTTGTTTTGTCACAACGTGGCTATTCCACCTTGGAATTATGGAACCCAAAAATATCCCGCAATGTGTCCCGCGTTCAGCCTTTTTGTTGGTTTCCAATCGTAATAGCGATTAAAAGAAGCCCCTACTTTTGGTAGTTGTGTGCCCTCTGGTCCCTGACACCAGTTTCAACAATCACAAACTTGTGTGTCGAACTGAAACGTTTCATTCTTCTCATTTGACGTAAGCGTTTTTGTCCCCCGCCCTCAGAGACGAATCCCTCCTGTCGGTTTTTTAATTTGAGGATCTTTTCCTGGACGAATATATATTTGGTCGGTGCACCAATTGTGGTAAAACATAGAGCAGCGAATATCGAACAAACTAATCTTGGTGATATAGCTTACTCAGATACCCCCCAACTTGCCCAAAGCAACAATAATACCGTTTTATTTTGCTCATAGTTTATTACGTGAATGATTGGCAAAATTTTACGAAAGTCGTTTACTATAGTGCAGTCTCAGGGTTGGTTAACACTTTTTCTTCGGTGCAATATCACTGAATGCGGGAATAAAATATTCTTTTTATGGCTATTTGAAAGCTGTGATCGCGGGAGATCGTATATAGGTAATTTAAATTCAAAAATGTCTCTCAAAATTGAAATAAAGTATGTGATAAATATCCTGTTGTTGCCAAAACGTTTCGTCCTACAGAAATGCGAAACATGAAATGGAAACTACAAAAACAAACATTAACTACATTTCAGTGGCTTGTACTACTTTACATAGCAGTATATCAATATCTTGCTTCTTACATTACAAATAATTCTCTATGAAGTAGTTGCGTGCCGAAAAAAAACTAATAACATAGTGCATATTATGACGTGACAAACAAAGTAAGCATTTACAAATATAACATGCTGTTGTGAAAAGAATCGGGAGCCGAAGACGTAATTTGACTTAGCTGGTACATGATATAAATCGTTTTTCATAAGTAAAAGGCCTTATTGCATATTTGTATAATCAATCCTAGAAATGGAAGTTCATTGTAAATTTTCGGTTTGCTCTTTTAACCTCCATGCGGCATCCATATATTTCGTTATTTCAGAGTTTTGTCGAGGAAAATTCAGTCTTCTGTCATCCCTGTCTTGCGCTATCTGTAACAGCAATTATTACAATGGAATATTACTTTTCAGATCTGCATGCCAATTCCATATTGAATGAATATTTAACCAAAATTGTACAGGTATAACGGAGATGTTTTATTTTGAGATGAAGACAATGTAATCTTGTTAGTCGATCGATAGTCAAAATAATGAATATTCCGGAAAATTATAATAATATGATTACCAGAGGTTTGTGGATCCATCCATATTCTTGTGCTTCTGTTTGTGGATATAAATATTTTTTGACCGGTTCTTCCGACGCTCTATGGATAATTTTCAGAAAGTTTTCTGAAAAAGAGAATTGTTGATGAAATAATATTTTTTCGACCCAGTCAGCGATATCTTTAGAAATGGCTGATCGGCAATAAGGATAAAAATTGACAAATCTTCATGTATAAGTGTCCGCTTTATAGAGCCTTCGTAGAAACTGTTTTAAAACACACGTAGCTAAATTTTGTATCATTCTGCCTCATCACGTCATATATATTACTTATATACCTGATCGATAATACAGTATTTTCGGTAGTAACTTTCATTTCAGATGTCTGAGTGATGCTATCACGGTCAGATAGGGAGAGTTTTTTAACGCATTAAGCATCACCATACTGTTTCCAATATAGACTTGAAATTATAGCTCATCGTTTTTTAAAAGTCCGTTAAAACTAAACCAAACAAATGACAAAACTGGAACATGCCTTGAGAGCACAGAGCGAATAAAATGTAAACGGATGCTGTTCCAGCAACACTCTGCCAATAGCAGGCAATAGACAAATTGCCAAAGATAGGACAGAATCAAGTCAATGTAGGTTAAGATGTTCGGAATGTGATTTCCATTTATTTTTGGAATCTCTTGTGCCTTATTGCATTAATATTACAAGTATTCATCATCTAGTCAGATGCAGTTTAGTTTTAATTTGTATTCATTCCATTGCTTTGTTGTTTTCTCGAGCATTCAAAAAAGGAATAAAACTTCAATCTGAAGCGTTTGCCAATCGTCATAGCAAGTTGATTTGTCTAACCGATAAAATAAAATACATTAAGTGACGTACCATCCTCTTCACCGTCAGCTGAATCATGACAAGAGTTTGGTTTTCCAGACAATGTGTACACTAAAAATGAAAGAAAAATCAAACAATAACGTGAACTTAATCCCTCTAAGGCGATTAAAACTCAAAACGGATCAATTAAGAGTCTTACTTTTCTTGAACGGATTTACACTGTAATTTGTGTACAACTTTTGGTTGCGAACTTCCTTTCTAATCGTCTCGCACAAAATTGCGTTTTGGTGGACGATGTTTACAGGCTCTTTTTCTCTTTGCTTCGCCATTTTGGCGGAATTGCTCGATTACTAATACTCTAATCACAGTAATTTGGAGTGGTTTTAACTAAATTTTAGTAAAAAAAATGGTGACATTTGGTTACGAATGAACTAATTAAAGCTCAATCATATAAATCACGAAATTTTTATGAAACTTCTTGAATAAGCTATCAGCACGAACATGGCTTGGATCTTGTGTACAAAGCCCCCGACACAAATGCAAAAATGCGAGATTTGAGAAAAACACCCTCGCCACGGTTTGAAAATAGAAATAATAATATTTTTGGAGTTCGGCTTGGGGCAAGTAATGATTTGAAAAATTGAATTTCAAGCGCAATCTACATTACCAACCCCCAAATGAATAATTAATAATTTTCTTGTTATAAGCGTTGGCGTATTTTTTGTTTCAAGAGTGCGTTGTACAAAAGATCCCATGGCGTTGCTTGAAATATTCAGTTCGCATGTTTTATCGATATACCTAATGACAGAACTGTTTTCTCTGAAGCGCGTTCATTCTAGCTTTGTCAGAATCTGTTCGATATCGAACATATGTTACAATTTTCACACTAATCACAATCGTAAACATCAAGGGAGGCTCTGCTAATTTTTTGCCGTACTATATATCGACGTCCAGTGCTAAATCACACCCCTTTTAAAACTCACCACGGGCATGCAGAGATGTGAACAAACAGTGGAACTAAGTCCTTCCTTTCAAATTAGCTAGATTATACCTAACCCTGTCAGTCAGAACTCAACAAAGGGGAGGCGAAAATAGAAATGGATCGATGAAATTATTCTCTTCGGCACGCAAAAACAATGAATATATTAATACAATATGTAGGATTATGCTTACAACCTGTCACGCCAAGCAGCAAAAACCTGACTATATCGGCCCGCAATCGGCTTTTGTTGTTATACATATGTCAAAGACCTTAGCAAGTGATGTGGAATGTAACATAACGCCACGCTTGTTGCTAAGGACGTTGCTACCAGATATCAGGTGGAGCGTGAGCTTGTACGTAAAGCCCCGTCCAATGGGTACGCCGTGTGATGTTTTCAAACTGTTACGTAACAAGTTACGCACGATACGCACTATTGAGTGCGTCACAAAGAATTCAACCCACAATGCATCAAATAACGAGGTCAATTCGCTAAATGTTCGCGTTCGTTGGGTTTCTAAGATAGGGTTTAACTTGTTTAAAATTTAATTTGAAGTTCGATTTTTTTTGTAGAGCTCTCCCCGCATCGATCCACACTTCTGTAATTACTACAGCTGTTTGGGCGAGTCAACGACGTCACACGCACAAAAGTCGTTGAACGGGAACCTTTTTTCTTTCACTCGCTTCGCCAAGCGGACGCTTTGAGGTTAGCGATTTTCCAGTCAGACTCGTTGTTTGTGCGAACTAAATTCGTTTGTACAGTCGAACTTGTTGAAGAAAAGGGCGATAGACGTTGTTTTTGTTTCACAGCTGGAAACTTGTTTTGGTCGCGAAACATTTAACGTCAAATACCAGTTGCCAACAAGAGATAATAATAAAATAGGAGATGTCTGTCTGTCACTCATCACTGTCTGACTGTATCAGCTTTTGGTTTCATAGCGGTACACGGATATCTAACTACAGAACTGTCAGACTGTAATGTATAATACCAGAATACTGTAATGTGAGGCAGCGTATCACTATCATGATAGTATAGTTTACTGTTAGCAAGTTCAAAATACTGAAATATGTTAAGATTACATAAATTTATTTCAGTCAGTCAGTACTGCAGTACTGCAGTACTTCTGTACCGGTACGGTACCGGTACTTGGTCAGTTACTGAGTTAGTTGTATGTATGGTACCGTACAGTGGTATTACATGAATTCAGGAATGAATTGAGTCCTGCAGTCAGTGCCATAATTATGTCAGTACTGCAGTATGTTACTATTCTGAAGTTAACATATTTCAGTGCTCTTGTGTTTTTATGAAGTGATTTTTGTTTTCCAATAGTTCAGTAGTTACTATTGCTGTATTGGCAGTAGTATTTCAGCAAACTAACTAGCGAACGACAAATGCTGGAATATATTGAAAATCGATTGTGTCGTAGTTAAGGAAAACTAATTTGTGTTTATGGATTTAGTATTTTGGATTAATTATATGAAAATAATATTTGACAATTGGAATCTAAAAGAAGAGTATTTAAATTAAAAAAAACGTTAACGGTGACGTTTCTCGCAGAAATATACAACATGGATCAAGACTTTGAAAAACGACTTTTAAAACAACAAAATGGACAATCCTTGTTGTCTCCAGCCTGCTCAGTAAGTCTATGATGTCATAATGCAAGTAATGTTGTTTTGTGGTATACCGGTACCATATGAGAGTATATGCTATGCTATATTAAAGAATACCTATTCTCAATGGTAGCATATCAAGAAATATTTTTATAATTTACTTCAATTCCACTGGTTTTTTAACAATCGAAGCCATAAAACTGCGTCTTACGAATATTGGGCAGATGCTACTAAGCATTTTTTGTTTATGTATTCACCGCCTAATTCTGAATGATAAATTTTGTTTTTCTACTTTTATTTTTGGTTATTGGTGTAAAAATGCAAGTAAATTTTCGGTGCTCCAAAAGTATGTGTTCCAATATGTAGGTAACTAATTTTGTTCGCCCATTTTACATCAAGTTGTGTGAGGGAACTGAAACCTATGGGCAGGGGAATATTTACTTGGCTAACACAGACAGTCCCCGAACTCGTAATCGAACTTAAATGAGGATAATCAAAATAAAATTATGGTCTAACTATAAGATATATGCCGTATTCAAGAAAGCTTCGATTTTGTGTTGTTGTGCTTATTTTTCCTTCGTTGTGCGATTTAGAGTTTTCGAAATAACCTATTGTATTGTATTTATTAATGTCATGTAGGCTTACAGACTTGGCATGCCAAGCCTAAGGTATTAATAAGTCTGATTGTCGAGTATATTTTCAGATTTTGGCACAAATAACATGCAATTGGCATTGGCACCTCACCCCTCATATTTTTGATCGATGAGGACAGACAAAAAATTTATGGTTATGAAAATTTATAGTAAAAACAAGATTGTCACTATAACTGTTTGAAGAACTGTTCAACACGGATCAACTCTAGTTAGTTTCACTTCTTTGGCCATGATTTGAATGTGAAAATTTTATGTCATCACAAATTATGTTGTCTTTGATTCATTTCTTTGTGCTTTGTATTTGTGTATAACACAATCTAAAGCTTGTTGATTTCCTAAATTTTTAAGTTTTCAAATATCAATATTTATACATCAATTTGTTACAGCCTTCTGTCTCTCCATTTGCTAATCGTCATCAACAGCGATCACTGCCGTCATCACCGGGTGGTGTGACTCCAACAAAAGATCGTTACGGAGACAGATTCATCCCGAGCAGAGCTGGCGCAAGATGGCATATTGACTTTAATTTGATTTCTGAAAATACAGTTTCGCGGAATAAAAATACTAAAAATCAACAACAGCAACAACAACAATCTCCAACAACAAATCGAAAAACCAAAGATGCCAATGAGAATGGAAAAGGTATGCTGATTGCTGAAATACATCTGATTCCTGTGGATATTTTTTAGTATTGATGTTCTTAGTTTGAAATGATATCAATACCGGTACTATTCTCAATGGTTCAGAAATATTGTTTATAACTATTATAAGTGTGCTATAATATACATTTGATGTTGTTGCTAACTTTTTTAACCAGGTATATAAAACATTAACATATTGTTTTTAGAATTTTATTTCTAACATTTATCTTAGATTATAAAAAGTGTTTATTCAATGTCAAAGGGGTTCGCTACCTTAACATGTTTAACATAAAAATCTAAAATTTAATCTGAAGCAGTCGAATATCTTAAATAAAATATTTGAATCTTCAGTTCCAATGGCTCTGTATCCTGTTAGATACATTTTTATAGAGCATCGATCAGATGTAATTTGATTTGTCATTTTTATTATCAGATAACCTCATGTATCAGTGTTTACTGAAGAATGAACTACTTGGTGCAGAAATTGAACGAATAAAAGATAGTCAATCAGAAGATAGAAGAATTATGGGGAGCCCTTGTTCAGAAAAGAAAAATTTATTTAAAGTAATTCAAATTAATAAATTTGGTATAAGATGCTGTTATCATTTTAAAATCCTCAATAATTTGATGCATGTTGTTTAGAATTACAGTTTTACGAAGTGTGCTAATTTCACTGAAAAGTTCAATCTCCTTTTCATATAATCCTAATCTATCAATAATTGAAAGGTTTGTACATGCTGTATTTTCATTTTAGATGTTGCCGTAGTAAAGCTTGTCTTGTCACTGTTACTCTAATTGTGACATGTAGAATTGTAATTACTTTTATATAACCATTATGTTCATGGGACAATATATATGAGTTTTGCCTCAAGCCATTAACACAAGACTGTCAGCTTCATAAATTTCCACAACGTGACATGGGTGCAGTAAAAAGCATTTACGACTAGCAAGCTATTATAAAGCATTGTCACACCCAAATGTGATTATTTGTTACTTGATTCTGAGACACCAATAATGTTTGATAAATAAAATGTTCAAATATTTTCTTATTAGGAAGTTTGAACTACTATTTGGCAGTTCATTCGTATTTAAATAATTCATTATTACACAATATTCAATTTCTTTCTGTAGTTGATTTTCATATCAAATCATTTTAATTTGCATTGATTGTATAGAAAATATCGCTTAACATGGCATTCTCACCACAAAGATTACTTTCCTATCAATGAAGGTCGCTATAGTTGCTAATATGCATATAACGGTAATGATAATTGTGGAACAATCAGTTACTGATCAAAGAAACTGATTTAATTCTGACATAGTTAACTAGTCGTTTCAAGCCATTATGCACTCTCTTTCTTTGTTTAATCCCTATGACGTAGCATGACGTGATTGATAGTTTATATTCATCATATGGTGTGTATAAGCCAATAACGGGCAAGCCAATGCTAATCAATTTTTAAAACGATGTTATAATCAGCAATGTCTGATTCAGAATAGACCATCGTTCTAAAAACAGTCTCATTATTTCTCACGTGTCAATATTTGCTATTCTGAAGCTTATTATATTACATAAGTTTGGTTTCATTTGTTCAATTAATGTTCTTGTTATATTTTATTATCTTCATATTCGAAAAATAATATAAGACAGTCCTAAATATTATTCTTTTAATATTCAAATTATTTAATTTTGTTTACATAATAGAAATAATTGAATGTTTTAGTCATATAAAAATGTAAATTTTATAATTTGAGTTGTTTTACATGATCTATTTTTACTTTTCAGTATTCTGTCAGAATGAAAAGGGCGGACTCTACAGAATCATCACCATATTCGTTATCACCTGTAGGCACTAAAAGGTATTACAAAAGGACTAATTCAAACTTCTCATATAGAGCCATACATAACAATATTTACTAACTATCTATCAATCCTAGAATATAAATATTTATTAATAATAACAAAGCACAGTAATCTTGACTTATGTTCAATTCCAGGGAAAAAATTGGGTACTCTCGTAGTGTGTGTACCAGGTTAGGGTGAGGCCATAATTTTATTTCCTTATTTTAGTTATATTACGAGTTTGGAGACTGTCTTTGTAAGCCAAGTGAATGTACCCCCCGCCCATAAGTTTCAGTCCCTTTACACAACTTGATGTAAAGTAGGCGAACAAAATTAGTTACCTCCATATTGATACACACACTGATGGAGCGCCAAAAATTGCACGAGTCACCTTTGGCTTCTTTGATTTAGAATAGTAATATGCCAATTTTCATCATCTAGTTAAACGTTTCCATTATTCAATATATAGCGTATTGTCTTTGTTAGATTCACCTCTATTCCTTTGTCTCAAGGTACCACTGAGATCAGTGATTTTGTGTCAATAATGTCAGGAAGTCTTTCCTTTCTGGGTATAATAAGATAAACTAGAATGATGATTCGCTGATCTGCACAATTATCTACTGTGATGTCATAATTACATTCTGTTGAATTGTCATCTTCTTTATTCCAATGGATGTATCATGTAGCAGTACAAATTTTGCTAGAGTTTATGTTTTATATTATATCTCTTCTTTTACAGTCAAAGGCTACTTCGATCACCTCGAAAACCAATGAGAAAAATTTCCAAAATTCCATTTAAAGTTTTAGACGCCCCTGAACTTCAAGATGATTTTTATCTTAACCTCGTAGATTGGTCGTCGTCTAATATTTTAAGGTATGCTTTGCTTTTATCTAAAGTTAGAACAATTGTTTCTGTGATTTTTGTAGTTTCCACTCATTTTTTTCTTTTGCAATCTTGTTGCGTAATATTTTTAAATTAGAGGTGAAATTTATCAATATATTCACAGATATAGATATATAAATACGACATGATACACAGAACTCATAAATTTTTAATTCTGCGAAAATAAAAAATAAATTCCTCTCTAGAACCTTGGTTTTACTGCTTAATCATAATCGAACTAACTGCACTGGAAATTTCATAATACTGTATATTATATTATATATTTCATATATTCCCAACCAATTATCTAATTAACAATATATTAATATTGAAGAAATATTTTTTTTCAGTGTCGGATTGGGAGCGTGTGTATATTTATGGAGTGCACATACAAGTCAAGTAACAAGATTATGTGATCTTTCCTCGGACAGTGATTCAGTAACATCAGTCAATTGGAATGACAGGGTAAGATTTGTATTATAGTGCTGGGAGATGTTTTCACATCCACATCTTTTTATTTTTCAATTTCTTATCTATAATTATTAAAATGTGTCTCGTGTTTATAAATTATTTGAAATCGAATATCAAGTTTTTGTGGATGACACGATTCAATGTATATCTGAGCTCGAATACAGGCCTGTGTTTTTAAGTTCTCGTCCATCTCTGAATACTACATCTTATTTTCAATGGCAAATAACTCTTTAAAAATTTTCTGTTGATAGGCCTACATTTGTAACAACAATAACTGTGATCATTATTCACTCTTACTGTGTTAATTATGTGGGCTTTTTTAATCGTTAACACATCATTTGAATACTAATTAGTCCTTAGGGGATTCGAAACTAATGTTCATTAACATATTCAAGTCTTGTGTAGTGATAGGTTGGAAACTTCTAGATTTATTTTGTGATTGATTAGAGTCATGCCTGACATTTGACTGATATTACTTTGAATTTATTTATTTTTTTCAGGGTAATCTTGTTGCCGTGGGAACACACAAGGGTCATGTTCAAGTTTGGGATGCAGCAGCTAACAAGCGCATTGTGCAGCTTCAAGGCCATACTGCTCGTGTTGGAGCTCTGGCATGGAACGGTGATCAGTTGTCTTCGGGAAGCCGAGACAGACTTATACTTCAACGTGATGTAAGATCATCGCTTTCGGGTTCATCGAGTGGAATTTCTGATAGAAAATTAACAGGACATAAGCAAGAGGTAATGTGAATTTATTTTTAGGATTACCAAAGCACAGTATTCTTGACTTATGTTCAACGTATACAGTATCAACGTATTGAAAACTTATGTTTTGATTCTGTATTCTGTCACAAAAGGCAATGCATCAAAAGTAAATTTTTAAAAAATGACAATGCATCGTGTTTTTCTTCAATTTTCCTAATATTTGACTAAATCGCTAAAGTAAGTGCTTTGAGACTGTTTTTCTCATTTATTTTTTATTGGAATCTTTTACATTCAATAGTTGAAAATAGCCACACTCTAGCTATGCCACGTAGAATTTACTTTATTATTGAAGTGAAGTCATAATTTCATCCCAATTTCGTAGGCCTAAATTTAGCTGTTAAATGAAGGAATATCTACGTCCACAGCAAGTAAATTTGGAGAAGACTTTTATTGAATAATGTTATCAATGTACTCTATGATTCATGTCATATACTTGATCGGCAGTTGACACCCTTCGTTAATAATTAATTCCTGAGTGATCAACAAATTATAATCAATATCTTGCTTCTTAGTAAGAAACAATGTCCAGGATGTTGAGATATTGGCAACACAACACCATTATAATTTCTATCAATTATTAATGATTTTTTTTCTTTTTTTTTAAGAAATATACCTTTTTTGGACAACTAAAATTTCACATTCAAAATTGTTTCTCCTTTTTTAGGTTTGTGGTCTGAAGTGGTCACCTGATAGACAGCATTTAGCATCTGGTGGTAATGACAACAAACTATTAGTTTGGTCAGCAAGTTCAGGAGGCAATAATTCAAACAATATTCAACCAGTGCATACCTATTCTGAGCATTTAGCGGCAGTCAAAGCTATCGCTTGGTCACCTCATCAGCATGGTTTACTAGCATCCGGTGGTGGTACTGCAGACAGGTCTGTACAATATCCAATTTAGTGACGCAGACGGGGGTGCCTTCGGAGTCGGACCCCATCGTTTTGAAGTTTTCAGTGGTAAAGTTACCAAAAATGTGTGCAATTTTCACGGGACTAATTTTGTTAAAATCGCTACATTGATATTGCTTCCCAGTTAAAAGTATTGAATAGATTTTGAATTGTGTCATTTTCAACAAAGAACACACACGAAAATCATTGTTAGAAATTGAATCCGGTTATGCAAAGGTGTGCAACCCACAAGGGAAAATTGTGCAGCTTGCAAAGAAGTGTCAGCTAGCTTGTGCGAAGTGAACAAGCATGTCATAAGATCAATAACAAAATTTTCGAGCCTACAGCTACCAGAAAGCCAATTTTAAATAAAAGTGCGGCCCATGGTTTGACCCAGTTATTTTCATCTGGCCCTCCTGTATCGAAGGTTGCACACCCCTGCATTACTGCATGAAAATGAAACGGATAATTGATTTGATTAGTAAATTAATGCACTTTTGGTCTTATTGTGAGACTTCAATTGCTGAAAAATTTTAAATTTTTGAATGGAAAATGAGGAGGTTGAATTGCATTTTGTGGTTCAGAAAATGACCCATTTATATTGTTATTCTAGGTGTATTCGCTTCTGGAACACCTTGACCCAACAACCTCTGCAGTGTGTGGATACTGGATCTCAAGTCTGCAATCTTGCATGGTCCAAACATGCTAACGAACTTGTATCAACTCATGGTTATAGTCAAAATCAAATTTTGTTGTGGAAGTATCCGTCGTTAACCCAAGTTGCTAAATTAACAGGACATTCTTACAGAGTTTTATATTTAGTAAGTTAGTTTGAATCAGTAATAACAATAAGCATAGTATCAGCATATCTTACATTTGTTGGTATTTCCCTGTTTATAATCATATATATTTGAAATCTCATACATACTGTACCACCAGAAATCATACATAGTTTCAATGGTTGCCTTCGACTTTGCTCATAGCTGAGTGTATTTTTATTCTGAGTGAGTGCATGTGACTCGTGAACTTGGTTTGAGAAAATTTAGTACTTTATGATCATGATGTTTTAATGAAGAGTTGGATAACTAAGTTATGTATCTCAATTCTCAGATATGAACAGTATAATTTTTATCGAATTTTACTGTGTACTGGCAACTTATCATATCAGTCCTCAAAAAAAAATCACAGATTCTAACAATCCCTTACACTTTATTTCTCCAGGCAACCTCACCAGATGGAGAAGCTATTGTAACAGGAGCCGGTGACGAAACATTAAGATTTTGGAATGTTTTCTCAAAGACGAGGTCTAACAAAGAATCTACTTCAGTTCTCAATTTATTCACTCGCATTCGGTAGAAATAGTGTTATTGATACCTTCGATATTTTTATCATTTCTTTCGTGATATATTCGACCATGAACTACTTTCATCTAAAAATTACGCTCATTTCAAGTATTGGATGAAAACAATCAATAATACTTTAATTAAGTTCTTTTGTTTTCAACCATGCTTGTCCGAGTGTAATACAATGATACTGAATTTTTTGATAACCAAGATTTGTTCGTAAGAATTTGAGATATTTTTAAAAATTATTGCTCAGATTATCAAATGATGATATTCTATATAATATAATATTTTTCTTTTTTTCGTTTTACTGTTTTTTTCCTTTGCTCACAATAATATATTATCTCCTAACTGTCCTTTTTCGCTCATCGATGTTTTGTTGCCCCATCTCTATTGAAGTGATTTTGGATTTATTTCTACTGTTATTTTACTGCCCCCTCCTCATTTTAATTTCTCTTTTTATTGAGGAAGTTGAGGCTCTGATGTTTTATTTCAATAATCATCAAATTATCCAAATTTTATCAGAAGTTTAGATCATTTTTTGGAAAGCGAAGGTTTGATAATTCATGCAACATCTCTTAGCTTCGAAGCGGCAGGTAGCGCAAGTTTTCTAATTTGAAGCGACTTAGGTCAGGCATTTCTTTCAATCAATTATAAAAAGTTGAATTTTTGTTTTCGTGAATCACTCTTTAGATATTTCCTTTCATCGTTGTATCATGACTTCACCACTTGTATTTCTTTTGTTGCCAATGGCCGAATAATTTAATTGGAAGAGTTTATGATACCTAATTGTTTATTAATTTGAGTATATTATGATTCATTAGTAATTTTTTTCCTACTTTCGTTTAAAATTTACCAACAATTCTGGTCGGTGAATTAAATATTGAATTGAAATATTGCAAACTAAAATGGTCAATTTTAATTTGATAAATAATTATGTTTAGTAAAATGTGTCTTCAACTAAATAATTCTACAAAGCGAATTATATTTGTGGTCGTTTGGCTTCGTTTAGTGTATGGTAAATTGTGGTAATTGTTAATTTTTTTTGGAATTATGAAATTCCTGTATGATTTTGGATTAGGATATGGTAAAACTTGGTAATTGGCAACTTAGTTTAGGGCAGTGAATGGTAAATTGTGGTCGATGACAATTTCGAATGCTAAATTATGCATTCAACCATCATTGTAATTCAGAAACCATGAAGGTGTTTTGTCAACTTTTTTTCAATAAAATTTCTTATTATATCTCATCATGAATTGCTGTTGTTTGATAACGTGACTCCCCATGTTCGACAGGTCTGTGTTTATCTACATTTAGAGAATATTATCATGAATATTGTTTACTCAATTTTGTTTGAATCGTATCGTCCCAAACCCATTTGTAGTCTTGATATCATTTCATCTCCCAATAAAGTATTGTCGCATAGTTGTCCGTCCGCCATTTTGTATTTTGTGGCCCACTGTGACACCCCCGGTTTTTGTTTGTGGAGTGGAAGCTCTACCAATAATCAACATGTTAGGCACTGTTACAATAATGGTAACAGATGATTTTGATGAGCACCATCCGCCTTATGAGTTTTCGCAGTTTTATTAAACCAAAACATATCTTTGAAGATTCCAAATTTTTCGCTATTTGCTTGCTTTTCGTTGCTGGAGTGTTGTTTCCATGTATTGCAGATAAAATTTTTCTTCAAAAATTGATTTATTTGGCCTACATTCAGCTCATACTTGGTTATTATCAAAATCTTTTCATTTCTCTTCCTTTTTTTGTGAAAATGAAATTGCTATTAAATTCTTTTTAGCGATTTTTGTCTGATTATTGTCTTTATGTCAGATTAGAATACTGTCAGGTTAGGCTCTAACAGTGGCGTTTACATAAGATTAGATCAGTGGTTCTCAACTGCCGCGCCGCGAAAAGATTTCAGGTGACTTACTATTGGGGGGGAGTAGGTTCAAAGCCGGCGCAAAAGACAAAAATCGGAATAAAATCCCAAATTAACTCCGTATTAGCTGTATTTAACATATGTCGCCGATACGAACGCATAGTTCTTCCAGGAATATAAAGCCAACCGTTGACGTTCGCCGTTGTGTAATGAGAAGTGGACGGGCGGAAATAGCTCACCAACATCAGAATGTCTAGCGGATGCCTGTTGTATATATATATACTAAAAATATCCGATATTCGTTAAAAATATTCGATTCGATCAAAATATTTTATTTTGCCCTCCCTTGCGATCTGTAATCACACCAGTAATCTGGCGAAACGCGTGGTAGTTCAAACACTGATGCAATGAAACTCTCAATAAAACCTTCATTAAGTTGCACTACGTATTACTACTCTTCTATCTTTTACAACAATGAGAGGTGCTCCGAAGGCGCTCTCGTGTACATTATTGTAAGAAAACAGTCCTAATATCGGTAACTATTAACCATTTCTTCGCGCTCGACTATCGTACTTTTCTGAAATGATAATTTTGTTGTAAAGCGGAAACAACATGTGTTTAAATATAGACGAAATATTGCCCCCCCCCCCTCGCCTGCGTTAAGAGTGTGTCTCTCTCAGAGAGTTAGAATTATGTCTCCCTCACATTCGTCCACATATTGCAGCATTAGTAAAGAAGCACCAGGCTTAACAGTCCTACTGACATTCACCATCATTATTCTGTACCTATTACTAGATACAGGGTATGTTGTATTTGCATAAATAAAACTCCTTTTATCTGATTTTCTTTGTTTATCATTATTTTATAGCAAGATGGCGTTAAGAGTAGAAATGTTCAATGTTTTGTGATAAGTGTGCCGCGAATATTTAAAGTACTCAACCGCGATATAAAAACGTATATATGGGAACCACTGGATTAGATAAGGTGGTAGTAAATAAAGAAGATTTTTGATTTGTGGTACCCATTGCGTACTTGTGCGCAATTTCGACTAAAAGCAAAGTTATGGCTATATTTTAATAGGCACCAGGGGAGTGAGAGAATCGGCTTTTGCAAATAAAGCCCTTCTGAATTTGAATTGCTATGAGGTAATCAGCCTACCCTACTTAGGCCATGGAGGAAGGCCGTTGGTTTAATATACAGAAAGATACTCCTATTACAGCTGAGGCAACTCGTCTGCTGAAGCATCGCGCTAGTCAGTAGGTAAATACTGAACATGGCCACGCTGATTACTACCGGTATGTTGTCGAATTCCAAACTCATGGAAGACAACTATGCAAAAGAAAATTGCTTTTCCACAAATTCAAAAGACCCCGTTTACCAAGCGACAACTTTTCGACATCATCCTCTTTACCGCGATATAGCAGAATGAGAGCCCATTGGTTCATTGAAGTTTCCCCAATTGAAGATGGTCATATATATATCACTATTGTAACCTTTTATGTCAAGGAAATATTTCTTTATCCGAGAATGCATTCTCTGAGATCGAAACATGATTGTATAGGTGGCAATGACGTGAAAATTGCTCTTTCTCGACGCATCGTCGTCCAGTTGAACCTAAAATATCGTCACGCTAATAACCGAATTGCGTAAGTCATTTTTGGCGATTTTGAGTTTTTTATAAAATAGGTATTCATGTAATGCTGCGCACCTGTCTGTTAACTCAGATTTTATTTTAGGAATTCCGAAACCCATAAAAATGGAGATTTAGTACGACGTGCACATTTGTGCAATTGTTTCGTCATAATGAATTATCCTTGTTACCGCAGTACTATTGTGACGTCACAAAGGCAAAATGACCTCGGCGAAGTATTTTCGAGTTTTTGCATCTCGGATTCTAGCTTAGCGCGTATTAATTTGAATTTTTACTACAGTATAAGAAGACGTACACTTGTGATATTCACTGTCCGAGTCAAATTTACCTTGGTTGGCTTTTATATTGGGTGCATTGCTGATTTATTCTTTATATTTAATCTTAGTCCTATTTCGGTGGGTGTGCAGAACGTGTTATATTGATGAAATATATATTTTTAAACATAAAAAATGATTTAATTGAAACTGATTAGCTATTTTGGGGATTAGACATTGTAGATACTGAGAATTACATTCGTTTTTGGAATGTTTAGTTTTCAGGACTGGTGCATATAGTGAAGTTGCAAATTGCGTATGTCACCAAGTCATAGACACATTTCTGCCTAAGTCACAGTGCGCCATTATGACGTCACTTAACTGCGTCATACAAATTAACTTAAATCCGGCTACGAGCAAAAAATTGAACCATGGCAAATTATTGACTCTCAATTGCATAACAAAATCATTAGGAAGTTTTTTACGTTTTTCTCAAAACTGCTAAAAATGACTTACGCAATTCGGTTATTAGCGTGACGATATAATGATACAACATTGTACAAGATGACCCCCTTCTACAAAAAATTAATTTAATTTTGTTCATGTTTTGTTTGTGTATGATTATACCCAAAAGATTCAGTAATCTAGCCACGTTCTCACTATAATATGCTCCTATTCGCCTCCTCGGCGTTTGGGGCCAGACTTGCATATATTGCGCAAAATCATTATTCATTCAGCTTTCTGTTTTCTTTAATTTTTGATTCAATTGCAACCTCGAGTTCACCAACTGTTTGAGGGTTGTTATCATACGCGTTGTCCTTCGAATATCGCTACAGATGAATATCAGGTACGGGCAAGTTCTATTGATGTCACAGTTTCCACTGATCAGCATTTCCCAAAATGCTCTCTCAGTCAGTCAAGGGTGTGATTTGAGATGTGGGGGGTCATCTTGCTGGAACCACTGATCTTCTCGATCGATCCCTCTGTTCTACGTCGTCGTTTGAATGATGATCAAAACCATCTCAGCACTGCTCCCACATAACGCTCCGTACTCACCATCTGGGCTCTTTCATCTTCATCTTCACAATTTTACGAAATGGACGCAAGTCTATATACGACGTTGGAAGCCTAATTGAAACATACTCTAGAAAGAGCCTAATTTTTATGAAACGCGTTTTAGATTACAGAAACTTTTGAATACAATGTGCATCAAACAAAAAATCCATCGTAAACAAAATTGGAATAAATTTACCTAATTTTTATAGAAGTAATTAAGAAATTTATGAATTCTGTTTTTTTTTTCTTGGATCACCATGTACTGCGAAAGATTAATAACTACTATGTTAAACCATCCTACTCTTGGTCCCAGCGAACCGTAAAGAATTCCACAACATTTGCGTCTCAGGGAGAATTTGTTGATTTCTCGATCTAAATGTGGTAAACTTTATTTGCTGAAGGACAAACCTTGTTTGAGTAAAATATCACATTTCTTTAGAATCGCTCCTGTCAAGGCACTTTTTTCACTTCTATACATACATATTTTATTGATCGCTTGCTATCCAAAACAGACCCCATCTTATATCATCAAAAGTCTGTTGATAATTTTTTTTACCATGACCATCTCTCAATGAAAGACGCGAAGTGGTGTTTATATCTTCCAATGTATATATCATTTACTATGCCCAACAATGGCTTTTGCGCTCCGTGTGGTTGCTTTCATTTTTAACTTTAGAGAACAAGTAGGTATTCCATATACACTCAATTTAAAATGAAATCATTGAGCGTTTGTTTTCTTGGTTTGAGCGATGTTTTTATAGACATCCTCAGGGATTTTGATCATCCCTGAACTTGAACATAAATGCTACACTCGGAACAATTATTCAAGCAATATCTCATGGGAGTGTTCGGCTAGATAACACCAGTAGCCTAATAAATGCACAACTATTTGTAAGCCTATAATGTATTCGCATCCTATTATAATATTTCAATCATAACTTCTTCGTATGATAACCAGTGATTGAGTCCCACGACTGAATCTTTTTTATATTATGTGCCATTTATTCCACGTGATGGATGTTTATTTAAAATAGGCAATAACGAGTACGTGACTTGATTTCAAAATGGGAAAATAAATACAGTACGCACTCCCAGTTTATTGTCTCGAACGTGATAAAAAACGAAAGCGATCATTAAAGATCAGTCGTTGTCTAGCTAATTTAATTGTGAATTGTGTCAAATATTTAAAGCCCTTGTAATTGAACGCCTCGTCATCGATTTTTATTGAAACCAAAGAATCCAAGTTCTGTGAACCAAGACACTAATAATAACCAGTGGCACTTAGGATGAGAAAAGTTCATGTCAGATTGACGGAGTTATACCATAAATATTGGGACGAGGCGTTTCCAAATTGAGTTAATTTAATACATCCAAGACTTTACTAATGCAAATAATGTATTTAATACGCATTTAGCATCAGTTTTCAGTGCAAACACGCAAAAAGCTTGCTCAAAATAACTTGAGACAATAAAAATCTTAATATGTTTACGCGAAAAAGCATTTCATGTTTTGGAATCATATGGAAGGTCATTTCAATCAATCAATCAGAGATTTTCATATTTATTCGTGACAAAAATTCTTTTTCAATGCAAGTTTCATTATCTACCAAGCCATGTCTCGACAAATCATATTTCAAACGTCGTTCCAAAATAGATGTCTAAATATTCTGGCATCAACAAAATTGCATGCAAAAAATGTGCCGTAGAGAGTGAACCAATAACGTTATACCAAAAATTAAATGCATTATCTCTAAAACTCCAATTATTGTCTCAATATACGTCGCCCATACGTAGTCTATTAGCAAACAATAAATTGTTTTCGTTTATCTTCTTCGATTCACGAGCAGGTGATAAATTGCTTGTCTTACTCGGTTCATTTGCTGTAAACTAGAAATTAGTCATCATAGCATGTTCATCCGGTCATCACTCTGCACCAAATTGCAATACTGCCAGGACTTTTCT